AACTTAGCCTCCAATTAAAGTAATACATTATAACTCTATTATGGACCTATCATCATATTCGTTTTCATCACTACTAAATGTGGATTATCTCTAGTGGATTTTCACTTATGAATTTACAGTTCAATCAACATCCGTATTTTTATACAACAGGAATTCACTATACACAATATTATAATTCACAATATTTTTTGAATATTTCATTTATTTTATAAGACCACAATACATAAACAAATTATTATTCACAACAATGAATATTTATGCCAAGATAATTAAATAGGTCATGCACTTATTTCAAAATACATTTATTTACATTAAACAAATGATTAAATTTATGCCACCAACATGATGCTTATTTTTAGGCCACAAAAATTTTATAATTAACAAACTTTTCCCTCATGGAAATAATAACCTCCTCTTAATTAATTTTTCTCTATAAATCACAACACAAAACAATATTTTGACATTTAGAAAATGAGGCTAATATTTTGGCACGACACATTTTTTAAGCAAAGCAAAATAACTTTTTTTTTCAAGCTATTCCACGCAAAAAGGTACCCCATACTTTCAAATATTTCAATTACATGAAAAGTATTTTTATGCCTAATAACAATAATTCTAATTACATATAATCTCATCACATTCTAATTAAATTAGAATTTCTTATAATTTTAAAGTCACCATGAGCATAAAATGTATGCACATTGCACAGCCCCACATTTATTTTCCTTTAACTCAAATTCTACCCTTTCAAAATATTTTATATGTCACACACTAATTCCTTAAACAAAGGAACTAATCTCAATTATGACACTCTCGGGAGATGATTATCATTCATGTGCCAAACATTATTTATCCAACAATGAGACCAGCGCTACTAGATACGACTAACAAGCCCAACAAAGAAATCATTCATGTCCCATGCGAAATATCATTTTGACTTATCTCATATTTTATAATTTTAACATATAAATGACAAAATTAAACAAAACAATTCGAATAACCTGATAAAAGGTTTTCAAAATATATTTCCATCATAGACCATTGCTATATGCCACCTTTCATTAGTCAAGCCTAACATTTTCGTTAATCCTAACACATATGCTATATATATCTACTGCATATAACAACATTATCGCTTTCAAAGGTATTAGGCAAAATTACAATTTCACAGGTGTCGACATGCATGGGGCTTCAGGTTTTTCTTGCTGTAGAAAAAGGAAAGCATTAGATTTCATAGACAGCTCATATGTGCTTTGGATTAAAAGATCTAAATTATGTTCATAAACTCTGTTTCTACCATTTGATAATAATTTTCGCAAAGCAGCCTCACAAGTGTTTCTTTCTCAAAATTATCAAGGTATTTTATTAACAGTTGACGGCTCACTCATCTCAGTAACACAACATGTCTTCACTGAATAAGAGCCTTTTTCATCATTTCTGATGTCATTTTATGTGGGTGCAAGTTTCACTTCTACCTCATTAGGATTTTACTGCTTGTACTCACACTTACTATCTAAAGTAAAACTTCGAGTGAGCTGTCGGTACTCAATCTCTAGGATGAGGAATATATCAGAGTTATGCCTGTGGTAGGCCACTCATTTTACGACTTTTTGCTTATTAATGACTTGAATGGTGGTCATCTAAACCTTTCTCATGGGTTCCTCCCCTATTTGTGTCGTCATCACAATGATGTTGCATCTCCTACTTCTGTTTTGCCATCAACCGGTTCATCCTTAGATGAGATCGGGTTCATATCAACTGCTTTGCCAGTCTCTGCCTCTCCAACGTCTTTGCTTCGAAAATGCACAAATGCTTTGCTTTATAACGATGAAATAGGGTCGCATAATTTGTCTGGGTTCAGTGGGGTTTCAACCAAAAAACCCTGTTTGCATGAATGATTCTGTAGGGAACCTTCATGGATGGCAACCTCATGGAGGTCCATATACGTGTGCTGCTGGTTTTTAGAAGTCATTTTGTTGTTTGGCTTTTATGTTTCTTTAATTTTTTTTTTGTCTCAATTAGTTTGTTCTTTCTTTGCTGGTTTTGTAATTTGATCCTTTCTTGTTTTATTTTCGTCAATGCAAATATTTATCTCAAAGGCCAAAGCTGTTTTGTCTTTGGCAACTCAAATCCTACGGGATCTTTTTTCAAACTTTGATTTCCATTTTCAAAGGAAATCAACTTGCTCAATAGGTCGCAGTACTTTTTCCTTTTCTTAATAAACCAGTTTTTAAACTGGTTACTTATCTCGTTTGTGCAAGCTTTAAAAATTATCATCTGCATGCTCGAAAATATTGTAAGGAGGGTCAAATCTTGGTTTTTTCTTGAACTCATTCTCTATTCTGTTTTTGTTGTCTTTCTTCTCATTTTAAGTTGTAGTTTGCCAAGCTATTTTCCTGGGCTTTTGATTTTTGTTCTGAAAGCCCATATCTTTGTAATCATTTCACCATTGTATGTACATTGACTTAATTTTAAAAGAAAAAAGAAAAACAACAGTTTCATAAAATTCCAGTAAAAAAAAAAATTTCAATGGACGATAATAGTTCATAATTCAATGTAAGTGTTAATTTGTCATAACAATGTTTTATTACAGATTAATGACAGATATAGCCTAAAACCACAAGCCAAACACAAGGTTAAAACTCCACCTCCACATTCATTTGTTATCATGAACACAAAATTCAAGTAGTCTATTGCTACGAAAATATAATCAACAACATGCCAATAATAACTTACTACCTCCAATATTCAACCCATTAAAAAACTTGTATCGTTGCAAAAAAAAAAAAAATTAAATGCACCATAATAAATCGGCATGGGCCAAGTCTAAACATATTCTCCTCAACACTTTTAAAAATGAGATAAACACAATTAAGCACATGAAACGTTATGTTTCTAAATTATGAATTGCAGATGGCTTAATTACCACATCATTGAGACATTTTGAAGACTTCAACATTTTGTAAGTAGAACGTGAACATTTTGTAAGTAGAACGTGAACGGCCATCACTTTGCCTTGATTGTAACCAATATCATTAGCATATGATATTTGTGCTTGAGTACATACCGCTCAAATGCACTATTGTTAAATGTCTTAAGTAAGTTCAAACAATGGGACAAATTTGGTACTATTGATATTTATATTTACTATTGTCTATTTTAGCATATGCTTACTTATATAAATCATATACGTCCCAACACCTAATTTTATTCACAAACATATCATCAAACCCACAACCTCAACACTCCTTCATTGGGGTCACATCTACCATCAACTTGAACTAACACAAGTCACGTTTTGGTTATTATATATATAATCCTCTTTCTCCATAGATATAATTAAAAAAATATGTACAAACAAATATATATCAAACCAAAATCATGCATTAAAAGAAAACTCAATGCATGATATATAAATAGCTAGTTTACATGCACTTAAGGTATGCTGCATTTCCTGTTGTTATATATAGTCAAATGCTAAATCGCCATAAAATTAGCAAAATGTCATGAGCATAACATATCCATGTTGGACCAATAAAGCTCAGATTATAAGTACAAGATTAATCATCGTTTTATACTTAATGATAAGAATGTATGTATATCATAATCAACCATGGAGATGTAACGTTTTAAATCTTAATTTGAATCATATCATAAATTCTAATCAAATTCGACAATAATTTCTTCACAGCAGAATTTTAAAGCTCATGTTATATTTTAATCTATATAATTGTCTGTTGGCTCAACCTTTTAACCCGTGTTAAACTCTCTTTATGAGAAAACAATTGGAATTACTTTAAGAAATAATATAAACAAGTAGCCAATGCCCCGCATCTTCTTTATGTTCGTTAAAATAAGACCAAGCAGATAAAGCACATTACGAGTTCAAGACACAAGGCTACCAAAACGCTGCTACCAAAAATTTGTGTACCAGTGTCATAACGAAACAGCAGTTCTCGATGCCCACAATGGCGGCGAGCCCCATAATATAAGAATCACATCAATGAAAACAATAGCAGAGGAATTAGCTTTCATGATTGATGGCAAAAGTAAGAAAAATCATAGTTTTAGATGTGACCTAAAATATCATCATTAAAAGCTACTCTGCCATGTCTAATTAATCAATGATAGTCTTTCAAATTAAATAGACTTCTCTTACAAACAAATAAGAATACAAAATAATAAAAATTTACAGGATAAATTCAAATACCAACACAGATAAAATAGTATGATAGAAGAAGAGAAAAATTTCAAAAGCTCAAAGACCCACGCTTCAAACTTGTCACCAATACTGCCTTTTATAGGCAAAGACTTCAAAAGACTAGGCAATAAAATTACTTTAATTATAATTAAAAATTCGTTACAAAAATAATGAAATTAAATAAATATATTTGAATAAAGGGTTATGGTAATTCATATTATTTATTATAAATAACTTTTTTTTGAAATACCCAATATATTTTATATTATCCAACAGTTACAAAATAAATAAATAAATGCTTCATATTTATTCAACAATTTTCATATACATGTTATTTTATAAAAAAACTAAAATGCCAAACAAGTTCCTAAGGAATAAAAAATAATTATCACATTTCACAATATCTATTTGTCATTTGTATATTTTGAAGGGATTTTATTATCATTTTCTCTTTTTTATCCTTAATATAAAACAAAGTTAGGGTATTTATTTATTTTTTTAAATTTTATACCTTATGTATTTATTATAATTTGGATTATTAGAAATTTAGTATGATTATGAATAATTGCAATGAAGGGCAAAATTAAAAATTGACATATTTATTTAACAGTTTAAGAATGTAACTATCATTTCTTAATAGACATAAAGTCAATTAAGTTTGCTTTATATTAAAGATAAAAAAATGTAACAATGTAAACGTGTTGTGTTCTAGGAGGTTCATCAATTAACCACCTAAAACACTAAAATTAACGTTAAACCACTAGGGAGGCGGGGCAAGGATTTAATTGAGAGGTTGAGATGGAAAAGCATATATAATGTAAATTTTATATAAATATTGAAGAATTGAAAGTGTATAAAATGAAACCAATCTAACACACTTGGTCACTAAAATGAGAAAGAATTACATGTGCACAAATCAAATAACAGAACCACAAGTAAACTGCGTCCATTCTTAGACGGTTACAGAAAGAAAATGAAACAGGATGAGGAAACTTAGGAAGGTATAGATAGCTATATAATGCAAGCAAGAACTTAATAATCCATGAAGGTCTCATGGTCATAGTACTAGCAATTACAAGTCAAGCTTGGTGATTTTCGGAAGCAAACAAGTGGTCAGCACTGTGTCTGTTGAAATACAGGCAGGTTTTTTTGCCAGAAGATGACACTGTAGGCAGAGGAGAGAAGCCAGTGTAGTTCCTATCCAACTTCTCTAAGCATATTTTCGCAACTGAGTCAAAGCCTGAGTTTTGTTTCACAAAGGGTTGGGCTGCATATTCCTCAACTGGCATCCACTGCGTGAATCAAAAGGACAGTTACATCAGCCTCTAATTGATATAATCTACCAGATGCAATGTCTATTATGTCCTTGTTATCATTATTTGTATCTACTGGTCACTTTTTTGCTATATTGGGATGTGAATGACATTTCTTATCCACAAATGAAAAGAAGACATGTCTGTCATTGATCTGGAACAGTGATGGTCTGGTTTTTCTGATGATCTCAGGATGAAAAAACAATACAAGCAGACATCCTTTATTAACTAGAAACAAGAATGCAAGAAGCATGAAAGCCGATAAGTGAACAAAAGTTGAAATCTTTTAAACATTTTCATGAATTTAAAAGAAAATGAATAGGAGTTGAAATTTTTTTTCATAGATGAATAGGCCCCAGAACAAACCTGAGCTGCTGCAATTTCAGAGGTCTGAGTCTGAATATCAAAGGAACGTGGTCGCAGCATGCAAACAAAGAACAAATCTGATTTCTGGAAGAAAGACTTATGGCTTTGCCTGATACAAGAGAGATAAGAAAGAGAAAAACAATTCAACCTTTGTGCCTTGACAACTAATGATTATTGATTAACACATAAATTTGCTAATTAAATAGATGCATTAGTCCTACCTGAAAGCCAAAACTTCAACAAATTCTGTCTCTATCTGTAAGAAGAATTAAAGCAGAGAGGTATTAGGCTTCAAACGAGTCCCAAAAAACAGAGTTGAAAAGCTAATAGATTGGCTAGGTATGCTTACCGCTGTTTCTTCTTTAACTTCTCTAACGGCAGCAGCAGCAATATCCTCACCCTGTAAGTCCAATCCGAATTATGTACAGAAAAAGATATTAAACAAAATAAATAAATCATCAAGATTAGACTTTAAGATACTACCTCCTCAACAGTCCCAGTAGGTAACTTCCATACACCTTTACCTTTAAAATAACCATTGCTCTCCTGAACCACAAGCACCTATAAAATGAAACAAAATAATTTCATTACTATGAATACACTCTGAAAGCACTAAATAGAAATTTCCAGCCCAAAAAACTAGCTGGATAATCAAAGAATATATGCTGACACAGGTACTTGAAAAGGGAAAAGATTTGATTCTCATTATGGAAAATAAGTTTTTTGCTCTATGTACAAGTCCTCAGGCAACTAATATAAGAAAACATAAAAAACCCAGATTTCTCTGCTGGATAAAGCAAATGTATTGCTTTTCCTCAGTTGCTAATGAATCTCTACCAATCCAAAAGTTAAAGCCTCAATGAGTCTTGGAGTGTAACTGATAATATTTTCCAACACACATCATTATATGTGGACAATTACATTAAAGCTTAAGATGTTTCAAAGAACATGTATTAAGCCACTGCCTTTACAATTCACTTGTTCTTTTTGTGAGAAAACAAGTACCATGCAGGAATACATGTTCGTATACACTTAGCAGGCTCAAACTATTCACTAGAAGTTAAAAAAAAAAAAAAACAAAGCTAAGCTTTGTATTTTTTTCCCCTTCAATTTTCTTGACAGCAAAGTTTATACCATGACCCAACATAAACAATGGTACTTTGGTTAGCTAGTGCTAAACAAGGCAAAATGTTGGCCCACTGAAAGCTGGAAACACAAAAAGGAATACCTCTCTATTGTCATTTATGACAAATGCACCAATCCCCACACGATGTGAAGCATTTGCAGGAAGAGTATCAGCAGTGTTGGGAATCCAATGCACAAGCATCAAGTAATCCGGTTCAGCATGGTGGTACCTAAATCCAGCCTGCAAAACAAGATCAGTATAAAATCTCAGCATGACCAAAATAATTTGCAGGCCAACATCATAAGATTAGCCCGGACTATTGTGCAATGTTAGGTAGGTAAAAAAGTGATTTCTGGGAAGAAAAATGTGAAATACACCATCTCATTTTCTTCTTAGAAAACACTTTCCTGTATATCAAACAGTATCTTAATGCAGCAAATGCATTTACCTTCACCGCAGGTTCAACTAGATTTGCGTGTCCTATCGGCAGCTTGATCCACACTCCCTTCTTTCCCTGTTAAAGCCATGTCGATTATTTCTCAACAGCTAACAAGCAATCATATATATTCAACCAAAAAGAGGTATTATAGTTTTTTTAAAAAAAAAAAAACTGACAATCTACCTGTTTCCGCCAATTTGACATTGATAATTTTAGCAGAGAAGCAAAGACCATGGAATCCATTGGCTCCTCCACGTTAACTGTAACTCCTCCATAGCTATCCTCCTTGGCATTAAGTCCTCTATCTTGTATTACCTCCATAGCTGCGGAAGGCGACATGTAAGCCCTTGGGATCAAACAGTTGCTTATGTTGTTACCTAAAGGAATGACAAAAGCAAATAGGATTAACATCAAAACACACTAATAAATAAATAAAGAGCTCAAGCTCAAAGCATAAACCTCACCTTCTAGGAAGGATCGGTAAAGGGAACCAAGAAGAGTTCTCTTTGGGACAGAGGAAGATGAGAGAAATGAGTTAGACTTTGCCAAAAGGCAAGAATTATAAAGGTTCAGAGCTCTAACTCTGAGCATTAAAATCAAAGCTGAAACACGCAGAGCAAAAGTGCTGACAATTTCTGACCCCGTGTTTAGCTGTTTTGATTTTCGAGGTAGCATGATACCTTGTTATTCTTATAGGATGGGTCAAGCACAAGAAGGAAATTTCCATGCAAAATGAGAGTGCTAGACTTTGAATGGGTCAGTGAATTTCTCTGCTTTGGTTAGCTTCTGGGGCAAATTTGAACCCTGCAACCAACAAGAAAGTACAGGACTAAAACGGAAACAGGAATCAAATCAAAATGAAAATAGAAGGACGAACAGAAAGATACATAAACTCGTTCAGCCAATCTGGGAAAATGCTCCCGCCTTTCGACCTTGTTTTCTTCTGAGTTTCGCATTACGAATACGCTAACTTGAGAATGCTACAGCCGGTTGCCGGTTGCAAGACGTTACGCGGGTTTCATTTTCTTGTTTTTGTTTTTTTTTTTTTTTTCGGGTAATATGACCTCTCGGTTGCGTGGTAATATCTATTCTATATTTCGGAGTTCACGGGGAAGTGTCTGTATTTTTTTTTTTTTTATTTACCAACGGGAAGTTAGTTTAGATGTTAAAGGTTCAGTACATATTCTTCTTGTAGTATTCATATTTCACTCCTTGTTTTTTTTTAATTAAGAAAAATTTTATGTCTAAAAATTTATCAAGTTTCTAATTTTATTTCGATTGTATATGCTTTAAAGATAAAATATTCCATTATTTAATAACTTTCCCTACATCTAATAGAGATAAAAGGATAAAGATATGCAAAATGATTATTAAGATACCCTATAATTAAAATAAATACTATTTGCTCTAAAAATAGAATCAAAAGAGTAACTTATAAAATTAGGAATCAAATCCTTGACAATGTGATGAACTTGTTGCTATTAGTAGCCTGCATGTATTTCTATAAATGGTGAGCCCCAATGCAATTCACCTAAAAATTAATAGCAAGTTCTTTTTGGTTAAGAATAGCAAGTTACTTCCTTTATCATATATATAAGTTATTTTTAACATATTTTACTTTTACCAAAACTTAAAAAAATTTTAAAACTCATTATCTCTCTCAAAAATTGTAACAAATTTTTAACTTTATCACTATTAAATATATTTTCTCTATTCAAAAATGTAAATTTTTTACAAAGTGAGATGTTAAAAAATATAAAACATTTTAAGTCTTTCAAGATGTAAATGTAATTAATGTTATTTTTTTAAAAGATACTTTTAATTAAGGGTGTAATTAGTAAGATTTTTTAAATGAGACACATTATCAAATAAAAGTAACCATCGAGAAAGCATGTGACTTTAAAATAATTAACTAATTCATTGAGAGTATGATTTAATTAAACGTATCTTATAATATTGAATGAAAAGAGTATATATTTTTTAATAACATATTTTCAAATAAGGAGTAAAAAAAATTTGAATAAAAATTTAAAGGCATAACTTATAAATAACACACACAAAAATTCTCTCTATTTTAAAAATAGGAGTGAAAAAAGAAGTTTTTTGTTCTAGTTTATTATTTATGGATGATGAGAGGACCAGTGATGTTTTTGATTAAAAATAAAGATTATAATTATAAGTTTCTTTGAGCTTTTTATTCATGCATATATTTGATCTTTGTATTTACGTCATAATTTTTAAAATATTCATTACTCTTTTTTTTTAAGAAATTCAATGCTCGTTTTAAATTTTCAATGACTCGATTTGATTATTACATACTACATAAGTAATCACGTATATCATTAAACTAAAAATCATATGATGGCAAAAAATAAAAATCATATGTTATGTATTTTACATGTCCTATCATATGGGAGGGACACGCTAACACAATGCACTCCCTTTGCCATTCGCTTCCTTGTTTTTCAATTATTTAAGGTTTTAGCATATATATATATATATATATATCAAAGAATACAATTGGTATTAATATTACTATGTCAGATTTTTTTTTCTAATGTCTTCAATTTATTTATCCATTCTTTCTATAATTATTTTCTTACTGGTGAAGATGAGGTTAAAAGAATAACAATAGTTAATATTATAAAAAAATTGGATAAGATTTAGATAATTAGTCTTATATTTTTAATATACTTTCTCCCAATCAAACAAAAATAAATAGATTTTCAAATATTAAAGATATTAATAACAAAAGTTTATTATGTATAAAAAAAATTTACATGTTTTGATTATATTAGAAATGAGCATCTTAAACATATAAGGTCAAGAGTTTAAATTTAAAAAAATTTAAAGAATTATATTTATTTTTTAATTAAATATCACAACATTCATTAACAATTAACAACCTAGGATGGTGAAATGACAATAATTTTAATTATCATTTTGCTGTGCTAAATTTTTGATAAATTTTATATTTCATTCGTCTAAGTTATAAGATATTTTTAGATAGATTTAATATTTTAAAATATAAAAAAAATTTATAAAAATAAAATTTTATTAATAATATTTTTTTAATGTTACCCTCCCCATTATAATCTATTTCTTTATATTCTTTCACAAATAAGGTATTAAGTGAAAGTTTATATTTTTGTTTTAAAAAAATAAAGTTATAAAGCATATTTAATAAATTTTATTAGTATCATGGTATGTGTAACTTTGTCTAAAATATCTTATAAATTGGTGGAGAGAATAATAGTAACCTCCATCCTAAATTATAAGATACGTTTGGAAGAGATTTGACATTCTAAAATATAAAATATTTTAATAAAAATAAAATTTTATTAATGATATTTTTTAATATTACCCTTTCCATATATTTTTTCTCTTTAATATTTTTTTATAAATAGAGAATTAAATGGAGGGCATTTTCTAAATTTATATTTTTATCTTAAAAAAATAAGGTTATAAAATGTATTTAATAAACTTTATTGATATGTATAATTTTATTTAAAAATATCTTACTCCCTCCCTTTAAAAATATAAGGCATTTTTAGTTTTTTAAGGTGTAATCATTACTTTTTTTTTGAAATGTACCCCAATTGATAATAATTTTATATTTATTATAGGGTGTTTAATAGGGATAAATATGAAAAAAATAGGGTTAGTTGAAAAGTAAATAATTATTTTATTGGAGAATCATATTTAGTTAAAAATATCTTATATTTTTTAACAGAGAGAGTATAATTTATAATAGATGCAGCATTTCATTGTAGGGATTTAATATCATTTTTCAAGAGAATTTTGTAAGGCAACGAGTGGAGAACATAGAACTCGGACCCGCACGATATTTTTGGTGGTCAACACGCATTTTTGTGTTTAAGAAGCGAGATTATGGTGTTGATTACTTCCTTTGTTACTGGTTCTTTTATATATAGTAGTTTTTAAAAGTTTATTTTATTCTTAATTTTAAGGAGTGTCATAATATATATTTTTAAGTAATTAAATAATTTTGTCCTTGACTTAAAAAAACAGAAAGATATTAATTTGGTTTTATCCACCACCATCATGATATTAATTAACATTATTAGAGACAAAATTAAAAAATTATTGTAATTTAATGTAATTTTAACTAAATAATAAGCTTTTATTAATATATAAAAATTAATTAAAAATACTTTATACATAGGAATTGAGGGAGTAGTTTACATGCATTGCTTTTAACTCAAGCCTCAAACTTTGAAAATGGGAACCTGAGTTGAAACAAGAATGAGAGTATTTGAATGGCAATTCTGACTTGATTTTCGTTCAAATCTTCAAAGTCGACTCCACATTTTCTTCACTTTTAATTCCTCATTTATGGCGTTTCAAAATGATCAAAATCATAATCAAACACGTTTTTTTAACATTTTTGTACCGGATTATTTGAAGTAGTAAGGAAGCTAAAAAGCAATTCAACGGAAATATTAAGGCTGGGCACAATGGGTGATGTTAGAACGAATGAACGTGGAATATCTTATGAAATTTACTTTCATATTATTTTAAACTGAGACAGCATTGATCAAGACAATTCTAACAAATTAGGATTGCAAACAATCAAATTAAATTAATTTGATCAAAAAAACAATTAAATTAATTAAGATGTGATCAGTGTATATAGGACACACAAACATATTATATTTACCACTCCCATATTGTAACTTTCCCAGATATGATCTATTCATTCCTCTGAAGAGGCGCGTTGTTATTGTCAGTGAATTGGCTTCCTAGTTAATAGACTTCTTTTTTTTTTTTTTAATAACGTTTGTGAACAATTCTTTTCACAATCCAACCATCCAATTCGGATCAGCTATAAAATGGATTTTAGTCGATTTAGTTCAAAATAAATGTATTGGTCGGAGCAGACTTCTCAATTCTCATCTAGTTAGATTGTTCAAGTAAACAAAGAGAACAAATCGAAAACTGTAAATGACTCTTATTATTAAAGTCACTTGTTAAAGAATCCAAATTTTATTTTAAAAGTTAAATGTGCATTTTCATCTTCGAAGTATTTTCAAGAAGTACCCAACATTCTAAATTATTTGGCATAAAATTTTCACCCCTCAAGTAATTTAAGCGTATCATTCTCTACCCTGGCATTAAATACTCACAATGGTCTGCTAGATAATTAAACTACTTCCATCACATCATATTAACAATCAATATCTATTATTTAATGTTGAGGTAGGAGCGGCTACATTTTAATTACTTTAAAGACAAAAATGTTACTTTATAATTTAGAAAGAATACTTCAAAGATAAAAATATACATTTTTATAATTTATAACTAGAATGGTGCAGTTTTTTTTTGTGAATAATATAATCTTATTTTGTTTATAGCCATAGGAGAGCATTTGTTTAATTAAAGAGAACAAACGCTAAATATTGATCCATTGCTTGGTCCAACCACCAAATGCAAGGCCTTATATGATGATTTAATACAAAAAATTGTCTGCAAAACAATAATAATAGAATAAGAAATTGAATAATATATTTTTTATAATAAAAAAGTTTAAAAGAATTGGCTCCCGAAAGCTTACTAAAACTAGAGCATCTTTTCAGACTTAAAGAACGCTTACAAAAGTACTTATAGATCACCCATCAACAAAGTTCTTATATTGATAATGAGATTTGAACCCATGACCTTATAAAATTATAGACCAAATCATTACCAACTACATTAACTTTTGTTGGCGAAAATAAAATAATACATGATCGATTAAAAAATAAACATGTAGCATTATTATCAATTTATCTTAATAATATTGTCAATACACCAATTACAAGCTGGTCAAAAAATATATATCATTTACAAAGTTACAGAAAATGAAAAGAAGAATTTAACATCCGCATAAATATATCTTCCCATAATTAAATAATGATTTTTTGAATAACTCCAATATGATCCTTCAAATGATTTCAAAGAGATTGTGAAAAAGATA